ATTTTTGTGTGCTTATATATAATTTGTTCAATTGAAAAATAAATATTTTCATTAAATATATATTAAAAGTATATATATACTATTTCAAATATATATTTTTAGAGTACTTAAATATTAAATATTTAAACTAATTTCTACAGTTAGTTTTAATAAATATTTTAATAAATAACATGGTAGCGTATGTGATATATCAAAATTTTATACATATATTTATAGAATGTCTGATTGAAATCACATCATATCACTTGTATTGCGCAGTAAAATACATTTCCAGTTTTATTAATTTTTTTATAAATAGCTTATATATTTTTAAAACATAAACCCTGTGATCGAATAGTAATTCTTTTGTGCGTATATATTCCTATTCATATTCAAATTAATATACATAATGTATATTACGCACATACGTATGTATATATGAATGTATGTATGAATGTATGTATGTATGTATATAAGTATGTATGAAAGTATGTATGTATATATTGCATGTTAATAAAGACTTACAATATAATAAACTATAGTAACTATACTATTTAAAAACTTTTTTTAGAGAATTTGATATTGTGTACAAAGAAATATTAGATCCCGTTGGGCGTAAAATTAAAGTGCTTCGCTTAATAGTTAGTAAAATATTACGAGAATGGTTTTCATTTCGGTGGTCACACTCTTGGTTAACCGAGGCTTTTATTACATTTTTTGGAGCCTATGTAGTCGATAAGGTAATTATTATATCTTTAGCTCTCAGGTAATGACTATACACAAGAAATGTTTATTATTATATGGTAACGATGAAAAATACCTTTATGTCTTTTAACACTTTCTTATTTGTAAGAATGCTTCTGGTCTCTCGATTGATATTTTTACATTTTCTAAAAATTTTAGTTATAAAAAATTATTATCTAAAAAAATATATACGTGTTATATATATAATGAAACTAATATAATAAAGAAATAAAATCTATAATAAAAAAACATATGTTTTGAAATAATTTGAGAAATAATTTCTATAAAATGATTGTTGAAACACACATTTTTATTTTAGTAATATCTTACTATATTTTTAAGCTTTAGAAAAAGAAGTAGCTTTGATATTAGAAAACAACGCGCGAATGCAAATTGGCCAGCAGTTCTTCCACAATTTGTATTATTATATTGAAATAATTGCGTTAAAACTTTGTTTGTTAGGCTATCCCAAATACTCGAATAATGGATTTATTCGTGGTTCAAATTCAACAAGATTGTCTGCATCTAGACGTTGAGTACAGTATGTGGCCTCTTAGCTCACAAATCAATAGTTCTTTTGAAATTCCTTATTACATCAGAGGTATAGTAAATTTAATTAAAATTGCCATGCAAGTAAATTCTTAAATATAAAATTGAATGTTGTAAAAGAATAGGTAAAATTAATAATAAAACTATATACTTAAATATATATATGTAATTTTATGTTTATATATATAACAAATCATTTTCTATTAGCTATGTTAACAATTAAATACAGGCATTGTAATATGTAATTACGTGTATTGTTATAGCATCCGTTATATTGCATATGTTGCAACACACAGTTGGCAAAGAAGCATTTTGGAAAGGTATCCGTACATATATATATGACAAGTAAGTAATATACTATAATATAATAGTTACATACGATTGAATTAAACATGTAAAATATATATACAATAATAGTTCTATAAAAAATTTTAGTTATTGTGTTATTTCGTAAACGGTAAGCTATATGTATATGTGTGTATGACAAACAAAAAATACATTCTGCATCGAATGTATCTACTTTAATATCTTCATTGCTTCATTGTTCTTTATCTGATTGACACTCTGGTTGTTTTACTCTTTTTATTTTTTATTTTATCTAAGAAAGCAAATTTCTAGGAAAGCTCAAACTTTTCTATTTCACAACTTAAGGCACAAATGCCTTTAAGTCTTTTGCGCATTTTATGTTTTCTTCTCATTTTTTTTC